ATTATAAAACTTTTAATTTAAACTATTAAAAGTACTTTTAAGAAAGTTTATATTTTTATTTACCTTTAATATTTACTTAATAAATTATTATAATAAATTTATAAAATCTTCTATTTTAAAGTCTTTTATTTTAATATTTATATATATATTTTTAATAAAAGTTTATTTTAAATTTTATAATTAAAATTATTTAAAATAATATTATTTAAAATTATATCCTTTTAATTATAGTTTAAATTATAAAGTTTTTTAAACTTTATAAATTAAATTTATAAATAAAAATAAAACTTTAAATATATTATATTAATATTAAATATATATATTTAAGTTTAAACTTTTATTATAAATTATTTTTATAAAAGTTATAAACTTAAATTAATATTTTATTAAAGAAAAGTTATTTTTAAAACTTTATATATTATAATACTTTTAATTATAACTTAAATTTTAACTTATTATTAATTTTTAAATAAAATTATAAATTCTTTTAATAATTATAATTATTTTTAATTTTAAAATTAAAATCTAATTTATATTTAAAGGTTTTTCTTTAATATATAATTAAATTTCTTTAAAAGTTTATTAGTTAGATTAATTTTATTAAAATAATAATTAATAATAAAATTAAATTTAATTAAATATATTAATTATTAAATTTATTTTTAAATTAATTTTTTATTTTATAAAATTATAAAGATTATTATAATTTAAAAAATAATAATAAGTTTTTAAGTTTTTTAAAGTATTATTATTAATATTTAAAGTTATTAATAATAATATTTAATTTTATTATAAATTATTTAATTAAGTTTTATATTAATAAACTTTTTTAATTAAAATAATAAAATATTATTAAAATATAATTTTAATAATATATTTTTAAAAATTATTAAAGTAATTATTTTATTAAAAATATTATATTTAATTTAAATATAAAGTATTAAATTATAATATTAAAATAAAAATATTTATTAAAATTTAACTTTAAGTTTTTAAAAGTTTTTAAACTTTTAAATTTTTAAATATAAATAAATTAACTTTATTAAACTTTTAACTTTATTTTATATTAAATAATTATTTATTAAAAATTAAATAATTCTAAGATATTTTTAAATAAACTTTTAATAAAATTATAAAAATTTAAAAATCTAAATATTATAATAAATAATAAAATAGATTATTTTTAAATAATTTTAATTTAATTAAAATCTATTTAAATTTTCTTCTTTTAACTAAGAATTTTAAAATTTAATTTTCTTTTAAAAAATTATATTTTTAAATTTTTATAAAGTTTAATTAATAATAATTAATTTATAATTATTTAAATATATTTTCTATATTTTTTTATTTTTAAAAAGTTAAAATATTATTTAAATAAATAATTATATAAATATTAATATAATTATTTAAAATTTTATAATAAATAATTAAAATATAATAAAAGTATTAATTAATTTAAATAATATTACTTTAAATTTATAATAACTATAATATATATAAAATATAATTTTTATTTATTTTTTTAAATACAAATTTAATAATAAATATTTATTAAATTAATTTTTAAAAATACTTTATATTTAATAATTAATTTAAAATCTTAAAACTAATAATAAAAATAATAATTTTAATTATTATTTTATTAAAAATTAATAATTAATATAAAGTTAAAAGTATTATTTTTTTAAAATAAATAAAATTAAAGTTTTTATTAAACTTTTATTAAAAATAATTTATTTATTTTTAAACTCTTTTAATTACTCCTTTAAGATTTTTAACTTCTTTATTAATAAAAGTAAAAAATAAAAAATAATAATATTTTTTTTTAATTTAATTATATAATTTACTTTTTTAAAAAAAGCTTTTATTTTAACTTTTATAAAAACTCCTTTAAACCTCTTAATTATAAATATAACTAAAAGGAATTAAAAAGTAATTTTTCTTTTTTATTTATTTTTAACTCTTATTACTTCTTTTATTATCTAAACTAAAAATTATTCATTAAAAATAATATAATAATAAATATTTTATTTTTAACTTTTATAAAGAATTTTATAATTTATTAAATAATATATAAATTATTTTATTAAAATTATTAATTTTTAAATAACTTTTAACTTTATTTAAAAATATTATAAACTTAAAATTTTTAATAATAAAATAAACTTAAAATACTTTTAATTAATAGTTAAAATATTTTAAATTTTTTTCTTTTAATTTTAAAATAGTTTTTAATTAAAAGAATTTAAAAACTTTATAAATAAATATTAAAATATAATTAATTTTTTAATAAATATTAAAAGTTTCCTTAATTTTTTAAATTAAATTTTTTATAAAAATATTAATTAAATTTATTTAAATTTAAATATTAAAATAAATCTTAATATATTTTTAACTTTATATTATAATTACTTTTAAAATTATAAAATATTATTAACCTTTATTATTTTTTTTTTTTAATTTTAATTATTAATTTAACTCCTTTACTTTAAATATTATTTTTATAAATAACTAAAATAATCCTTAACTTTTTTACTTTAACTCTACTTTAATAACCCTTTAATTAATAATTACTATAACTTTAAACTTAATTTATAAATATTATAATTTTATTAATATTAAATAATTTAAAGTATAATAATAAATATTATTATAATAATAATAAATAATTAACTTTTATTATTATTAAAAATTAAATTTTAAAATAGTTTTAAAATTACTTTTTTAAATATTTTAATTAAATTAAATATATAAACCTCTATTTTAAAATTTTAATTCTAATCTTTTATATATAATAAACTTTAAATTTTTAAAACTATAATATTATTTTAAAAGGCTTTTATCCTTTTTTATTAAAGATTTTATTATTTCCTTTATATTTTATTTTTAATTCTTTATACTTTTTTTAATTTATTTAAGTATATTAACTTAAATTACTTAAATAACTTTAATTATTTTATCTTTAATATTTAATAAATTTAAAATATATTTAATTTAAATTTTTAAAATTTAATTTTATAATTTAAAAAAACTTAACTTAAAAATTATTACTTTTAACCTTTTATTTTAACTTTAAGATTTTAAAGTATTAATAAAAATTAAAAGTTTTAATTTTTTATTAATAAATAAAATTAATTATATTTTAAATAACCTTAAAAATACTTTAAAAGTTCTTTTAAAATTATTATTAAAGGTTTTAAACTTATTTTATTTATAATAATTAAATATAAATTTATTTTCTTTTTTAAATTTTATATAAGTATTTTAATAATTTTAATATTTTTATTAATATAATTAAATATATAAATTATTTTTATTTTATTATTATAAAGAAATTATAATTAAAAATTATAAACTCTTTTAAAGTTTATTATTTAACTATTATATTATTATAAAATATAAATTATAAATAATAAAGTAATATTAATTAACTTTAAATTTTTAATTTAATTTTTAAAATAATTTTAATTACTTTAAAAGTATTTATTTTTATTAAAAATTTAATTTTACTTTTATTTTTAAGTAAAGGTATTATTTATTAAAAATATTTAAACTCCTTTATTATTATTTAAATTTATTTAAAACTTTTCTTTTTAATTATTTATTTTTAATAATATTATAAATAATATAAAAAAAAGAATTAGAATTATAATAGGTTATAATATTAAATATAATAGTATAAATTAAAGAAGGTTTAAAGGTTTATTAAGTTTAAATTTAATATAAAACTAATTCTTACCTTTTTTAAAGAAGAGGTAAGTAGGTATTATTTACCTTTTAATAGGCTTAAAAAGGGGTATAGTTAGGTATTAAGGTGCCTTTAGGGTGCTTTTTTATAGCTTCTATTTAACTATTATAATTTCTTCTTTAATTTTTAATACTTTAAATATAAACTTCTTTTAATATACTTTTTAATATACTTTTTAATATACTTTTTAATATACTTTTTAATATATTTTTTAATATACTTTTTAAATTATATATATTTTAATATTAATTAAATATTTAAATATAAAGATTATATTCTTTTAATTTTTTTATTTTTTTAATCTTTTCTAATTTCTTTTAACTTTTAATATTTTAAACTTTTAGTTTTTTAATATTTAATTAATATTTAAATAGTTAACTAATATTTTAATATTTATAAATTAAAAATAACTTAAAAGATATATTAGAAAGTATATTAATATATATATTAAAAGTATATTAAAAGTATATTAAAAGTATATTAAAAGGTATATTAAAAGGTATGTTAAAAAGTATATACTTAAAATATTAAAAATTTAAAGAATTTTAATTAAGTATATAGTTTTATATAAGCTTTATATATAAAATTTTAGTATTAAATAGGGTTATAGAAATTATTAAGTAGATAGTTATAAAGGTTAAATAAGTGAATACTAACTTATTAATAATATTCTTTTTATTTTATATTTTTTTTAATTATATTAAATTTATATTTATAAAGTAAATATAATATATTATCTTAATAATAGTTATATAGAGAGTTTAGTAGTGTGTAATATTTATGTGTTATTAGGGTACTTTTAATACTATGGAATGTAAATGAGTGTACTTATGTAGGTGTCTAGGTACTTAGGCTGCTCGTACCCCGAAGTACACACACTCCATTTCATTCCCACTCTCATGCATCTCCGGGGTCCTTTTATCCGCGAGCTTTCACTCCCTGGTACCTAATTCCTTCCTGACCGCACTTTTTGCGGCCCAGCCCCCTTGATTGTGTGTCCCCCCCCTCTTACTCAACGTGTAGACACGCCACTCCCGTCGCATCCTCCCCCTGCCGGGGGTGGGGGGCCCGCCGTTGCACTTATAAATCAGTAGTGCCGGTCTACCGATTTCCTCAAGATGCTTCCGCTCAGAATGGAATGCATCATCAATTTAAGAGCTTCTACATTTGGTAGCTACCTAATCACTACTCAGGCTAGCCACCTTGCTAGTCTCATTTCTCTACCCAGTTGCTCATCATGACCAAGCGCCAGATGACCTTGAGAAACAATTGCAGGACTACGCTTTTTTACTTCCTGCTCTTGGCTTTCCTGATCGGTTGTGTCGGCTCTTACTTTCCAACATCGCAACTTCCCGCACTCAGGGTGCTTGAAGTTGATCCGCTTCCGAGTTTGTACGAAGCCGACATTGATACTCTTGCAAAAGGCCTTGAGCGCAAAAGGTTCACCAGTGTCGACTTAGTCAAAGCAAGTTATATTGGCGCCCCTGGACGGATTTTGCAATTAGTGCTCATCGCATTTAATAGGCTTATGTTGCCCGAATCAATGAAGTTAATGATGCTTTGAGCGCAGTGACCGAGATCAATCCTGACGCCTTGGTCATTGCATCTATGCTTGATAACGAACGCTCCAGGAGCAGCATTCGCGGGTAAGTATTCTCAGATCAGTTCGTGGGCCTATGCTGATTTTCGCAGTCCCCTACACGGAATTCCTATCTTGATCAAAGATACAGTATGTTGAACACTCTTTCTTGATGATTGCTATTTGTATGGAGGCACTGAGGATGCTGTTTTCCCTTGTGTTCTTTCAGCTCCGGTAATGGCACCGTTCAAGCTAAGCAAAACCATGGCCTAGATTGCAACATGCGATGGCATGAATACCACAGCTGGGTCCTACGCACTTGCTGGAGCTAAAGTACCCACAGATTCGACGGTGGTCACAAAGCTCCGAGAAGCAGGAGCCATCGTTCTGGGGAAAACAAATCCCAGCGAATGGGGCAACTTCAGAGTCTCGCTCAACTCCAGCAACGGCTGGTCAGGTTATGGCGGACAGACTTATGGGCCATTTTATCCTCACCAAGATCCGTCAGGTAGCTCAAGTGGAAGTGCGGTAGCGGCTTCGTAGGTGGCTTATCATCTGCCGAAGTATTGAACATGACTGAAATCCCGAAGGCTAGGGCTAGCAACGGTTTGTTTGGGTGGAGAAACTGATGGCTCCATCATAGATCCTGCTAGCTTCAACAACATTGTTGGAATGAAGCCAAGTATGTGAGGACTCGGCCACAAGATTAGATGTTCACTGACCTTCCACAGCTGTGGGACTTGTATCACGCCATTTGGTAGTCCCTCTCAGCGAACGTATGGATACCATTGGACCGATGACGAAGACCGTGAAGGATTCCGCATATGTTCTGGAGAGTATCGCTGGGACTGATCCGTTTGACAACTACACATCTGCTCTTCCGAGTGAGGCCGACCTCAATTTCATCGACGCTTGCAAACTTTCCAGCCTTTCCGGCGCACGCCTGGGTGTACCTCGCAATGTGATTTCACTCAAGGCAAATGGCAACACCGGACCAACGATCAAGGCCTTCAATGAATCGCTGGATGTTCTACGCTCAGCTGGTGCCCACATTATCGAGGCGACCGACTTTCCGGCTGCGGAAGACTTCCTTAACGACTCATTACTGAGTGCTGAGATCATGGGAGCCGATTTTGTGGTTGACTTGGAGAAATATCTCAGCCAGTTAGTTTACAATCCGAACAATATTACCAGCTTGGTTGATCTGCGCAGATGGACCCAATCAAGCCCGAGAGAGGGGTATCCGGACAAAGGGACATCGCTCTGGGATGCAGCTTTACAAAATTGGAACAACACAGAGTATGGCTTTTGGCGTGCTTACCAACGAGGTCTGTATTACGGCGATGAAGGGGGGCTGTTAGGGACAATCAGGCGGCATCGACTGGATGCTGTTGTCCTTCCGTCCCAGTTTTCATGGGAATGGGCTGCGGTCGTTGGTGCGCCTATTGTGTCCGTCCCGATGGGAGCCATGCCACCTGGCCAACCTATCGTGTCAGACGACGACGGATTAATATCTTCAGCTCCTAATATCCCGTAAGTTCCCAAGAGAATGGAACCAGCTAGGATCTAACTTGAGATACAGGTTTGGCTTCAGCTTCATGGGAGCAAGGTTCACCGACGCCAAAATCATTGGATTGGCGTATGCTTTCGAGCAGCGAACGGGGATCCGGAAACGGATAATTCCATGTGTTGCCCCACAGACAGATCTGCGGGACGTGGTCCACAGCCAATGTGATCCACCACAGAACCAGGACGGACTGTAGTCCTGCTTCTTGTGGAACTTGGCCTAGTTTTTTATACTTTGTGGACAACCACCTTTGTACAGCCAACTCGTTAGGAAAGCCGGCAAGAGTATTCCAGTCGTCAATGTCATATATAGTGAAAAACACGAGGACAGTCTGTTTGGAATGACATCAGACATATCAGGGGCCTCTCTCTCACTCAGGCTCCGGCGCATAGCTTCTCCTCGTGCCCTCCAGTTTCAGCATACTTCTAAACTCCATAAAATGGTTGAAGATCATTTGTCGTCAATACCCCCGGTGTTAGGTTCTCTCCTCGAGTTTAAGAATCCCCGGTCCACCACCTTTGTGTCTATTGAGGTCCTTGTGTCAGTGAGCACTGTTCTGGTGTAGAAACTAATTACTTACATACCTACCTGGGTAGATAATGACTAAGTGGGCAAGCAAGCACAAAGTATCATCAGTCAACACCAGACATACACATGTAATATTGTGCACCAAGCTCCAATTGTTAGTGCAAGTTCATATGACGAACGGTGTACAGAATATTCCCCCCTACTTAAGTAGGTACACTTGAGAATTTCTTTGCATCAATATGTCTTTGAGTCTCGTATCGGTGTGAATGGGACTACCTGGGAAAGGAATAACGAATAACTAACCACAAGTTCCTAATTGAGGAACAATTTGCAGTAGACGGCCAAAGACCAAGCTCCCCCCAGCTGGTCACGCCTCGCCTGCATGTTCCAGGTCATCCTTCACCATGGCCCCAAAGGATATGCGGTAATAATAATCGCTTGATTCATGTGGTGATGCCTGTGGCGGGGTCCTCGCCGCCCGTTTTGTGGATGGGTTTGCCTGCCGTACCACACCGACACCCTTGCTTTGGCTTGAACGGTACCTGGTCGAAGAGCCTTACTGGACCTTTGATGGTGGACAGGCAGTAGTTAGATGCAATGGCATGTTCTGTGAGACTCTTGCCCACTTTTTCAGCCACATGGCCGTGGGTGAGCGACGTTAGCAACCAGACGTAGACATAAGGGCTTGTGTTGTTCGCCAAAGTTCATATTGCAAGTCAGCCTCAGCATACCTAAGGGTACACTGGCAAATTGATATTGCCGCGGCAGACTGGGAAGTAAATTGAGCAAAGCCCGCGCCGCCATCTGAGGTGATGTCGTCGTGGGTCGAATTCCCCTTGGGAGCACACAGGCAGCTAATAGTGACCCTGTGCCGAGGGGTAGTTTTAAGACAGGCTGAACTGGCATATAGTTACAGCAAGCCCTTCGTCAGGGCCTGCTGCCTGCAGGTCAGGGGCAGGGTTGATCTCACTGATAAGGTTGCCGTTTGGAAGGCCAATCACACTGGCCCTCAGTCACAAGGCTTGCCTGCTAGCTGGACCATTTTAGCTAAGTACATGGATTATGATCCCACCACTACAGTCGTATGGTAGCATCCCAAGAATGGCGCGCCAGCAAGGCCAATGGGTTGCTGCTGAGCCCTGGGTGATCCTGCATCAGTCGCGTCACTTATTTTTCAGCTGCTCCTTTTGAAACTGAGACCAATTTTCGTGGGATCTTCCTCATCAACTGCCATTTTCAACCCGCGGCAACGAGCTTGCCCGCAGGCGATGTCTTTTCTGGCGTTCATACCTAGGTGATCCATACCACCAAGACACCTTAAATTTGACATGGCCATGTATTCACGAGACCCTCCGTGGTCCCCGGCGCTACAGAACAGTTACGGTCCCGAGGCCATGGTGGGGCATTATGCTCATGAAGGCCCTCAAGTTGTCCCGCATGCCGGACCCGAAGCCGTACCACCACACGCCGCACCGGAAGCCGTGCCAGGACAATCCCCGGACTACGGCTACGTCCAGAAAGCGTATGAAGATCGGCAAAATGGGACACCCGTTGCGGGGCGAAAGAAAAAGATACTCGGCCTCTCCGTCGCGCTCTTCTGGGTCCTCGTCGGACTCGTCATACTGCTCGTCTTGGGGATTTCTTTAGGCGTTGGCCTCGGCGTCGGCCTGAGCCAACGGGCAACATCCTCTGCTGCCGTCTCATCCACCTCCTCTTCATCATCAGCTCCAGCTCAGGCAACCACCACATCGGCGAGCACCTCGTCGACAGCGCCATCGACCACAACATCGACACAACCCAGCAGCACATCATCCGCGCCCGTGACATCTGGCACAACCGGCGTGGCTGACAACAGCTGCACTCATTCAGTACCTACGACGTATTACTCAAACGCCGATCCACAGATTTCCTTTACGACCTACTGCTTTACAGATTGGCCAAACCATGACACTGCTGCTGATGGAAACGGGACGGTTGCTGACCTCACATTTACGACTCTGTACACCTTTGAAGACTGTATGGATGAGTGTGTGAGGTACAACGAGGGTCTCGCCTCAGGAGAGAGCAAATGCGCCGGAGTGACGTACAACAGCAACTTGACCAGCATAGTTGCGATAGGTCAGCAGGGAGGTAATTGCTTTTTGAAGAATGCCACGGGAGTAAATCGGCAGGGAAGTGCGACAAGTGCCTGCGGAGCTATCGTGTACTAGTAGGGGCAACAAGAGCATCATCACCCATTCATTAATTGAGGCCAATACATAGGTTTGTATTGAATCTGTGTTTAGGGCGTGACGCTCAAGTGGTTTCTTTGCACATCCCGGTGCTTGGAGGGATTCCCAGCACAAATGTTTGACATACATTGCTGTTGAGGGGCCCGGGGCATTCCCCTATTATCCCGTCCTGTGACACCCAGTTGGCCAAATGAATGAGTGGAGATGGGTTTCAATATACTGACGCTTTCCAAGCAGCTCTACAACGATCAACCTGAAGCTTCGTTCACAAGCACAGCCCACGTCAATTGCGAACCTCAGTGCATGCTACAGGGCGCTTCCTGATAGACTCATGCGGCTTTCGAACTGCAACCCACCAAGCCTTTAAGCCGATTGTATCAAACCTAGACCTCCACCGGCAATCAACAGCGCTCCCCCACAGAGCCCCCATATTCCCTTGTCCCACCCTCTTGGACCGTCGATAGCAACCCAGGTATCTACCACGCAGACAATAGTCCACAGGCTCAAGAGGATTCCCATTTCTCTATTTCTGCCTTCGTAATGGAACCAGTACAATGCTATCCCAGCAGCTATGTCACGTATGCCAAGAAAGGTAGTCGCCTTTCGAGCCATGGTGTAACCCTCTGGTGTAGTCGGCACCACACCGAGCGCATCTGCTGCAGTGACCGGCGCGACTATCGACAGTACTCCCAGAGAGAAGAGAGTAGTCGTCAAGCCGAGACCAACGGTGCGCCAGGTTGAAGGGGCGAGGAGCTGACCGGGAAAAGCCATGTTGAACGTCGGGTGAAGGAATGGTTGATATTGAAAGTAACACAAACAAGAAGAGTCCGCATGGGAGTTCGAAATAGAAGAGACTGCACTAGGGGTGGATAGAATAAAGGCAACAGTATCTTAATATAACATATTCTCGGAGTGATTATCAATCAGCCATACGAAAAAGGTTTGCCAGTGTCTGAGTTGAAGAACCCGGAAGCTCCTATCAGTCCGATACCTAATTACGTCAAGAATAATGGGGAATGGGGGATGGAGTTTGCAATGGACAGGGCGCGGGCTTACCAAACACGACAACATGCTACACGTAATTCCTTTGCCCCGATTAATAATTCGGCCGCGCTGCACCATAAAAAGGAAAGGGTTTACGAAGTGACTTACAGAGGACCTGAAGAATCCGATGTAACGGTGTGAAGAGGACGCCGCTCTCCCCTGTGCTGACGAGATATGACGTGAACCTCGTCCAACCACCTCCGTAAATACGGCCCAACAGAGCCGTAATTACGCCCAAGGGAGCCAGCCGTGGGCACCGGGGAAAAAATGTAATCCTTGAAGTCTCTCCGTATCTCCTACGTCGACTTGAAGAGAGCCACCTGGATTCATCTGACCTCAAATATAAAGATGAATACAGTTCCGATTTCGATTCTCCAATTGCGGGTTCCAGAAACATCCTGATTATCCCAGGAACTACAGGAAACTGAGATAAATCGACCGCCGACATCTTCCTCAGATTTGCATGATGGAAAGCCCGCCCAGTCACGCGGAGCCCCCGTCCAGGTTCAAGAAGTAGCTTTATACCTTAAATATTAAAGATATAGAGAATCGGTTAGGTATGTAGTTTTGTATAGGCTTTATACTTAAAACCTTGTATTAGGTGGGTGGATGTACCCTAGGGTAAATTGCTTGGTGGGTAGATGTAAATATCTTGGGTGGGTGGATACTAGCTCGGTGGTAGGTACTATAATAGCGCCTTTAAGGGTTTTTTATAGTTATTTTAGAATATATAATAATATAGTGTATTATAATAATTTAATATATTATACTTTTTTAAAATATACTTTTTTTATAATTTAATAAGGAGAGTTTATTATTTTAAATTTATTTACTTTATTTCTTTTTTTTAATTAATAATAATAAAAACTTTTTAATCTTTTAAAGTAAAGCTTATTTATTAAAGAGTAGAGAGAATTAAGTAGAGAGAGAGAGGGATAAAGTATTATATAATAAAAGGGTTTTATAAAATAAGACTTTAATAATTAATTTTATATTAAAGTAATTAATAATATTAAAATTATAAAGTATAAATATTTTATTAAAAATTAAATAAAAGTATATTTAAAATAATAGTATATTATAATAAATTATTATAATATAATTTATTATTATAAGTTTTAATTAATTATTAAGTAGTTAAATTATTATAAAAAGTCTAACTAGTGTTATTATAGTAGTTAAATATCTATTTTTATATAATAAAGTAATAAAGAATCATTAAAATTATATATTAATATAATTTTACTCTAACTTTAATATTCTTTTAATATATACTAACTTTAATACTCTACTATATTATATATATTTATTAAAAGAAAAGATTTAAATATTCTATATTTTATATAAAGAATTATATTTATTTAAAGTATAATTTAAACTAATTAATTAAAAG